GAGAGAGAGAGAGAGAGAGAGAGAGAGAGAGAGAGAGAGAGAGAGAGAGAGAGAGAGAGAGAGAGACATTCTCAACCTTGCCAGCGTTTAGGTGGAGAGAGTTTCTTCTGGAGGGGAGGAGCTGCATATGTAACCCCCAAGAATTACTGTTTTTTGTTCAAACAACTGTGACTGCAACTTGTGCTGGTATGATGTGTGATTGTGGACTATTGAGGAACAGAAACTCATTTGAGAAAGATGGGACCGACTTCGACAGGGCATGATCATTCTTCAACTCGATGCCATACCTGTATTACACTTTCTTTTTCTGCTGCTGCCTGTGACACGAGGGATGCCCGGTGCTTTCCAGTATTAGTCAGCATCCTTCCCTCCTCCACCTTGAGCTGGAGCTCCACATTCCTGATTTTACCTGCAGCTGCTGACTCCACTTGAGCCACTTCCACCTGTGCTTCCAAAAACAATCCAGAAGAGAAGCAAATGCCACGTCCAAGGTGAATGGAAAAATGTTGGGATCTTGGGACAAACATCCATTGCATGTTGGGAAGACGGACATGAATAACAAATGCTAGCAGTAAACAGACACCAGACAACCATGGAGATGAAAGAAGCAGCATCGCGGATATAGAGAGAAGTAGCAACAATGCCTTACATGCTCCAAAATTCTGTGAAGCAATATGCTTCAACCTTCAAAAGCCCAAAGCACAAACACATGAGCTTGACTCCACCACACACTCAAGTTCTCCATCAACTCCACAAGTAGCTTCTAGAGCCCAGGTAACAATTCCTTAAACCACTACTAACTACTTATGTGAGGATCCTTGTCCTCGGCACGCCTCTGTGGGGCCCCGCTGGAAGCCTCGCGAGCAACTGCATTCTCCCGAGCCTTCTAGGCTCTTCTGGGTTGGACGTGGAAGCGAGAGCAACTCAGGCCTTCTAGGCTCTTCTGGGTTGGACGTGGAAGCAGGCCTTTCGGCCAATCACAACACAGGGGGCAACTCAGGCCTCGTCGGGCAGTTGGGAGCCCTTGTCTGTTTCAGTCCCGGGCCACTGTCTGATTCAGGCCTGGGTGCAGACACTTTGGCCCAATGTGAACCTACTGGGCACACGGTCGAGAGGGCCGGGCAGCAAGCGAGGCAAGCACTTTCCATTTAGGAAAGAGCTCGCCTCCCATTCAGACATTCAGGCATTTGTGTGCAATGTGGTAACGCTGCTGGACAGAGCGCTCATGGCTGCTTGCACGAGGTGACTGGGCGCACGAGCGAGCACCAAGCCGAGGCTTGGGCGCAGAAGCCAGTGGAGGTGGTGGTGTCCTCGTGGGCATTGTGAAGGTTGTGCGTGGGGAAGAAGACCAGGCTGAGCAAGGAGAGGGCGAGTGAGGGAGATGATGCCAGTGCACGTACCTGGTCGTGGCGGAGGACTGGACAGACGACATCTGCATGTGCTTCGGTTGCTGCTGTTGCTTCGTCATTAGAGTAGGCTAGTATAGGAGCTGTACTATCGTAGCTTGGGGGCTGAGTGCCAGTAGGAGATATGACTTCGGATACATTGTTGATGGTTGCAAGAGAGGTCTTTCATTGACAATTGAGTGTGTTGCTTGGGCTCTCCATTGGTGTGATATCGGTGCTCTGCTTTCTGGACAGTTCACGACTATCTGGCTTTCAATGTGATGTTGCAATTTGGAATCCTTTCATTTCGCTATTGCCCATTTTCCTTGTACTTAGAGGTTCCTTCAGGTGTGTTGGTTGTTTGTGACCTTGATGCTCGTCAGAGTGGAAAGGATCTAGGACATACATGCGGCGCATCCACTTGCGCTGCACCGCGCACAGTGCACGACGTGCACGTACTGGGTGCGGCGCACCCCGAAAACAAGGGGTTGCGACAAAAAAAAAGTTGGGGAGGGGGTTGTAGGCCTGAGTAGGATGTCCCACAAACCCAGACAAAAACAAATATAAAAAAAAATTGGGGCCGCGCGGGGCCTCAAAAAAAAAAAGGGGGGAGCTCAAGGCACTGTGACTTTGAACTACTTGGGGCTGCCCCACTCTGGCGGGAGACACCACAAGAGTCCACCTTTGTGCCCCTGAAGTTGTGTCCTCCTTCCCGCCCGCCGTGCGTTGCCCATCGGCTCGTCGTGTTCACGTCTCCTGTGCAGCCGAAGCAGTAACTGGCGTCGTCGTTCATCTCCGACAGTCGCCAGGTGGGTAACCACCAGCGCCACCC